AGGTCAATGGCTGCTTGAGGTTGAATGTTTTTAAACCTTCCCTTTGATGGGGGCAGGTCATCATGAAGGGGCAGGTGAGAACAGGTACTGAAATCAGGTGAAGGACAGCAGGTGGATGGTTGGGTTTGTCACATGACTGCTGCTGCCATGGTGATGGGGTGTGTGCCATGAAGGCCACAAAGGACTGATTAGGTTAACTTGTTTCTTATGGGTTGGGGCAAATACTTGGAATAGAAAAGCTAATTAATACAAAATAAGCTGGAGAGGGTTGTTAAACAATTATTACTAGCTACCTCTGAGGAACCAGTTCTGTCCTTAATTAGAGTGCGAGCTAGGTAATGTTAGAATATGACAGAACTAGGCAGTGTCAAAATGCCTTCACTTTAGCTGTGTTGACTCCATCTTATGTCCCTTCATATTTTATCTTCTCAAGTAGAAAGACACAGATAAAATACTATCACATGATACCTTGCTCTGAGGTATGGTGAAAGTACCCCGAGAGTACAGTTGAGGAAATAGACTCCATGTGGATCCAAGGGTGGAGAAAGGGAAGGAATGGCATCAGGAAATCTTCTAAAGCTCCTAACCTTGGAGCCAAGGCTTAAATCAAGGCTGTTGAACAGTTTTTGTAGAAGGAGTGGGGAAGGCAACCCTCCAAAAGAGAATAATATATGTGCAGGCGTTGAAGTCTGAAAGAAAGCGTTGATGTGAATTTGGGTATGACTGAGTCTAGTGTGTGGAGAGGTGGGCGTGTATGAGCCTGGAAAGGCAGAAGAACAGCAGTTGATAAGGGCTTTTCATGAGATGCTAGTGCGGGCTTGCTCTTCTACTTGATCAGATGGCCAGTTGCAGGTGGGGACAGATGACCATTTGATCACAGGCAGTGACTAAACAGACTAGGCTAGCCTGGGAACAGAGTTCTTCAGTAATTACTATGTTGTGTCACTGCTGAACTAAAAGGCCTCTCCAGATTCAGAACTGGGGGCTAGTGGGGCCTTTCAGTTCACCTTGTTTAGTTCTTTTGTTTTATGGAGGGACCTTACTGAAGACCAGTAAGATTGAGAACTTTTTTTATTTATTAAAAAAGGGTTTACTCTGGAGCCCAGACTGGAGTGCAGTGCCATAATCATGACTCACTGCAGCCTTGAATTCCTGGGTTCAGTCGATTCTTCTGCCTCAGCCTCTCAAATCACGGAGATGGCTGGCACATGCCACCAAGCCTGGCTAATTTTTAAATTTTTTGTGGAAGTGAGGTTTCGCTATATTGCCTAGGCTGGTCTCGAACTCCTGGGCTCAAGCAATCCTCTGCTCTGGCTTCCCAAAATGCTGGGATTACAGGCATGAATTACCATGCTTGGCTGAGATTGAGAATTTACTAGTTTATCTCTAATAGTTATTACATAGCTGAAGAGTAAAATCAGAATTTATCCACATAGATTACTTGGGCAAGAAATGAGATAACACATGATTATAACCCAAACTCTCATCCCGTTTTTAAATAGCCCCTATAAAAGAATGAGTTTTCAGCTGGGCTCAGTGGCTCAGCCTGTAATCCCATGCCTTTGGGAGGCTGAGGTAAGTGGATTGCCTGAGCCCGCGGGTCCGAGACCCACCTGGGCAGCGAGACCTCATTTCTACAATAAATCAAAAAATCAGCAGGGCGTGGTAGCGCATGCCTGTAATTCTGGCTACTCAGAAGGCTGAGATGGAAGGATCACCGGAGCCCAGCAGGCGAGGCTGTGGTGGCCGGGAGCAGCCACTGCATTCCAGTCTGGGCGACAAAGTGAGACTCCAACTCAAAAAAAAAAAAAAAAAGACTGAGTTTTCATATGTAATACGGTTTGGTTCTTAGAATTTTGAGCACCTCTTAAAATAGTGTTCCTGATAATACAGGGACCTGACTATTTAAGACCGGAACATTTATCAGTAATAACCATGCCATGCCTTCATTTCCTCACAAAGTCATTATTTACAATGAGGTGATAGAGTTGGTATCTTTACTGAGGTCACACAGGTAATAAG